GTTGATTGTTGGCTTCTATGAGCGGCGCGAATGCGGCCCATGCTGCTCTCCTTCTCCGGCTTAGTTTCTCCCTCATGCTGTTCTCTCTGTTCATTGAATGTCCAGCGTACATATACGAGGTGGTTTCTGCAATCAGAGAACAATCCAGTTCAATTTTTCCACCTTCGCACAGTTGGCAGCCATCATGAACTGGGACATCGTCATATTTGCGCGCAGTTCAAAATTTTTCGTCCGTTTTGTTGAGTCCATTGAACATAGACTCTGCTTCACTAGTATTCTTTAAAAAATAGCGATATCAGCCGAGGAATGAAGATTTGATAGGGATTTTCCATCATTACGTATGTCCTTCCAGGCAGCTTCCATTCGCCTTGAGGTTTTAGCAGCCCCTCTGTATTCGCCCTACACAACGCTGCGAAAACGAGGGCTCTCGAGGTCAGGGGAACGAGACTCTCTTTTTTTTTTATAGTATGTTTAGCATTTTGATACCCACGTGTAGCCTGCTGGGCTCTGAACATGGGAGCTGGGTATACTCACGGGTAGCTTGCAAGGCTCTCCCAGAGTGGGCATGGAGCTTATTTGTTGGACGCGACTCCTAACCGCCCCATTATACTTCCCTTTCACTTAATTTCAGACTTTTGGCCGATAGTGTTTAGACTTGTAGAATACAACCTGCATAAATTAGAACGCACCCACCGTGCATGAATACGGTACGTAAATGCAGGAAGTATGCGCCAAATCGGCGCAGTAGAAACAGGGAGTCCATCCCCTGGATCCACCTGCGCCTCAAGGGAAGCAAAGGTCGCTTTTGGTCCGCTGCTAAACACTATTCGTCATCTGGGAACGCGCCACGTAGCCTTGCGACTAACCGGCTCAAGATCCTTCATTGAGGGAGGCCCATGGAAGCTGCCTGGATTACAAAGAACTACGGTGACGGTCTGTACCTACAATGTACGTACACTTGCATCCAAGCTCTCGATAGAAGACTTGCCCATGCAAGCGAGAAGGATAATGTACGACGTCATCGGTCTGGTCGAGGCGAGAACGCGCCACCCATTCAACGCCGTCTATGACTTGTCCATGAACATCGATTCATTTGAACAACTTAAAACCTGAATCGGACGTTTAAGATTAAAAAGATGTGGATCAATTCCGGTTTTGACAATCTTCGTCGTTTACCCGCCGACATCAAACTATGACGAAGAAGAAGTCGAAGTTCTATATCGACTTGGAGAAGCTCTATAGAGAAGACCACACATTCTTCAAGGTCATCATTGGAGAATTCAACGCCAAGATTGGACTAAGGAGAACGTCTGAAGAACGTCACATGGGGACTCACGGGTTAGAATGGAACGAACAGGGTGAGCGGCTCTCTGAGTTTATCACGACGACCAAGACTATCCATAGTAACTCGCAATTCCAGAAGCCCCACCCTCAGGACTGGACGTGGAAATCTTCCAATGGAGAGTGCCATAACGAAATAAACCACATCATAGTAAATAGAAGGTTTTGCCTAACCAATGTCGCTGTTTTCCCAAAACTCTACACGGGATCGGACCACCGTCTCTTCGGTGCAGGATTTTATTTGTCGCGGAATGGAGGAAAAGCCGCCAAATTCAAAAACCGAAGTACCAGAACCACCGTAAACTGGGACTTATTCAATCCATTAGTTGGCTGTTGGGACGATGCCGTTCTCTATAACATCGACGAAGAATACGATCGGCTCATTTAACGTCTTCACGTTAGCGCTATGAAAGCTGAGAGTTCGAAGGTCACCTAGAGACGCCTCCAGAAACACCCGTGCTGATACGCCAGCATGGAATAGCACGAGCTGCAGGCAACCGCGAACTAACGTCCGAACTTGCAAAACAATGCAGACAGGCGATGAAAGAAGATCATAAAGAGAGAAGAGCAACAGTAGTGGTCGAAGCTGCAGAGACTGGGAAAAGCATTCGAAAACTCACCGAAGCTTCGCCAATAACAAGATCAAAATGATTGCGCTCCGACGCCCAGACGGAACAGTTACAGTGTCCAGAAAGGCAATGGAGAAAATCATTCACTAATACTACTCGAATCTCCTTGATAGCCACGTCCACCTTCCGTCAAATAAAGGAGGATGGATATGTTGAACCAGCGGTTCCCCTTTCCGAAATCCGACATGCCATTTCGTCGGTGAAAAATCGAACAGCACCAGGTCCGCACAGGATAAGACCAGAACGCCTGAATAACCCTCCGCCTGTCCTCGTAAACACACTGGCTCGGCTCTTCACACGTTACCTGTCTGAATCCGAGGTGAAAGTGAAAGACCAGCAAGAGCGTGTATATACTTTTCAAGAAGGGTGACCTACATGATAGCTCAGCAACTATCGCCCAATCCGCTTGCTGTCTGTCTTCTACAAACTTCTCACTCGAACCATCCTAAACAGAATTGACAGAACACTGGACGAAGGACAGCCGTGTGACCAAGCAGGGTTTCTAAAAGGATTTAGTGCGATAGACATCCACACGATAACAGGACTCATTGAAGTATCGCGAGAGTACAAAAGACCTCTCTGTCTCACTTTCATCGTTTTACAGAAGGTCTTTGGTTCAGCTGAGATAGAAGCAGTCTTGGAAGCCCTTGATAGTCAAGGAGTCCCTACTCAGTACATAAAGATTCTTCGTGAGCTGCACAAAAATTTCGCAACCAAGACATCACCTCAATGACGCTGAGATATTTACAAAACTCCGGAGCGCAGGTGTATGCGGTGGGGAAGGGTTGCTGACGGCTGATTGCTGATGGCAAAGTTCGATAGAGCTAGCTGAGAGACAGGCGAAACAAAGGACCCGCGTGGTGTGGTGGTGAACGCGCTACTCCCGGAAAGGACAATAACGCGTTCGTTCCCTGCTGCATACACCTGAGGTCCGGAGTTTTGCAAATATTTCAGCATATTGAAGTTATATTTCACTCAGGTGGACTAAATCACTAACCCTCTCACGATTGCCGTCATTTCCGAACGTTGGTCTTCATCGGACCGCGTGTCATCAAAGCGGAATCGAAATGCGCGTTGGGATCAAGGTGTGCGGTCGGAAACACATAGCAGCGTGCATATTGAAAGCAGTGCTGATGGTCGTGGAAGGGTCAGACACCATCTATATGTTGCCATAAAGTACCACGTACATTTAAATAAGTAAAACAGAAGAAATACAACACAGACATATCCATAAATACGTATGCATGTACCCGAGAGCGCGTGTGGCGCAGTGATGGGAGACGCCCTGCAATACACGTGGGATTGATCTCCGCGCCCCAGGCTCATTAGGCCTTCCATCTTTCCGGAGTCGGCAAATTGGTTCCAGACTTGTCAGGAGGATGGCAACAATGACTGGATACATGGGTAGGCCACCGCGAGTCATTGTCATTCAATCAACTCCAACGATACTTAATGAAGTCAAACGAATAGCGCATCTCTCAGGGACGCCGAGATCTTCATCCTTTATACATCGGCAACTTAATTGTTTAGTCTCTTTAGTGGTTTTTCAGAAATGACAGGAAGACTATGGAACGTCCAATACAGGCACGCTACGAGGAAAAGCTCGCGACAGGACCTTAAACTCTACCAGAGTTAAAACAATCAACTATGCTATGATTACCACTAGACGTATTCCAAGCAAAAGTTGAAGGAAAAGATCGAGCTAGGTTTCCGCCATTAAGACCTGGCCGTGAAAGCTCGAGGTCAAGTTATTGGTTTAAGAAAAGCTTACTACAATATGGACTACCTCTCATAACCAAATAATATGTATTTTCTCTAATATACAATCCCTGACTTCAATTTTTAAAAAAAGAGAAGGAACCGTCAAAAAACGACACGACGACACCATACCATTTATAACACCATTTGCAAGCAATATCCTAGAAAGAGCTCAAAGTCGAAGAAAAATATGAGACATCCGCACCCATTTGGGGGAAAACACAAAGCATATTTTTGGTTTGTTTTCAACTCGTATCATACTTGGATGGCACGTTCTCACTAGCTGAGCGGACCACAACATAATCTCCATTTTTTTGAAGTTTTGCTGGTTTAGTCATTGTAGTTTCCTGGAGTCGCGAGGTTAGCCTAGCTAAGATTTGTCCTAGGTTGTCATCACAACCACAGCCAGTCGCCGCCCTTGTGTATCAGAGAGAGATTTCCCACCATGAGACTAGTTTGATACCAGGACGGTGGTGGATCCTGCTATTGGTTTCCTCTTAGCTGGGCTTTCTGGTGGAAACACCGGACTCCTCCGCTTGGGAGACCGTGCTGGAAAATCGTGTCATAATTTCCAAATTTCCTCCTAACGGTCGTAGCTGGGAAATGTCCCTGGGTGTCAAACTGCGATGTACAGCGAGGGATTCATTCATTGCCAGGGTCTACCAAGCTGGGAAGGAGTCCGGCGTTCCCATCAGGAAGCCTAGCTAAGAGTAAACCAATACCAGGACCCGCTATCGTCCTGGTATTAAAGTCCCATGGTGGTAAATCTCCCTCTGATACACAAGGGCTGCGACTGCCGGCGATGGTGGAAACCTGAGGCAGACTTTGGCCAGGTTGACCTCGGGACTCCGGGGAACCATAGTGGCTTAACCAGCAAATCTCCGAAAAATGGAGGTTATGCTGGGGCCCGCACAACCACTGAGGACGGACCATTAAAGTCTCAAGTAATTTCCAGATTTAGATCGCAACTCGTTTGTACTTTATTTAAATATTTTAACAACATTAAAACACATGGAAACCTATAACAACGTAAAGGCATTTGCAAGCAAGACAATAATGACCAAAAATTATGAGCATATGGTTATAAATACTACCGAAGTGAATGCGCAACGAACAGACAGATAGTATAAGAGAAGATACTCGTTAATAAGAAGGAATTAACATTTTAAGCAAATTTAGATTCACCGAAAATAAAACACCAGCTGAACAATCATAGCACTAAGACATTCCCAAGGACGAAAATCCAAGATATGGTAGATTACAGACGACAAGTCAGCTATCCCTAGGACTTCTGCACAGCGGCAGTTGTTGAATACTGGAAGTCCACTGAAACACCAAAAACTTTTATGCTTCTGAAACCTAAAAGTAATAGAACAAAGACTCATACAACTAGGTCCGATTGATTTTGAGAGAGAAAAACCCAAAAACACATCGAATAACACAGCTGCAGCTACTAACAAAGGTAATACAACAACTGTTGTAAAAACGTATTGCGTCCATAATTTCTACCTTTCCTTCCTCGACATCAAAACGATACAACGTCGAATCGCAATGATATGCCCTTGGAGTGAGCTTTACTAATGAGTGAAGTCCAATATCGATGTATGGTAGGTCGTCCAACGATCTATCGTAGAAATACGCAAGAATACAACGAAGAACAGCTTGATGGGAGACAACCAATACATTCGCCTAGAAAATCTTTACCGTAAAAATAATATTATTGGCGGAACGTCTTACGTTTGCCACAAGGAATGAGGTCTCGAAAAAAATACTTAGCTTACATTCACAAAAAGAAAGAATGGATGAATAAAAACGACTGATATACATACATATATGCATATATGGTATATACATAAATCTATACATAGTGGTGCGAGGATGGTGCATTGGTTAGTGATATTGACGATCAGGAAGCAAAAGCGCTAGTCCGATACCCGCCCCAACTCTCGCCTCCAATCAACGTAGGAACACCTCAGCTTGGCTATCTCCAAGATTGCACAGAGATTTGACTCGACCAGCATTCTGCGACATTCATAATGAAGACGAAATCTTATAGGAGCAGCCGAAATAACACACGAAATGTTTGAAGAACACTGTGGACGATGAGTGCGAGAAAAACGAATCGAACGCGAGAAGTGATGGGATCGGCACAATTAATGTGATGATGCCTTATGGGGAAATATATATACGCAGTGTCTACACGGAGTCAGGTCTCAAGAAAGAAACGAGAAAAAACCACAATTCCATCACAAGTCGCTGACTAATGTTGCAATAAAGCAACCTAAAAAAAGCATAAAGCTCTTGGCGTTGATCAATCCCTGAGTATGTGTCACATATTTAAATCCAGAAAGATAGTTATAGGTAATTGAATGCACATTTGGCCTTTCCAATGACTCGCGGTAGCGTACCGATGTATCGAGCCGGTGCTGCTATTCTCCCAAACAATCCCGGTGCTCATTTTCCGACCCCGAAGGGATGGAAGGCTAGGTGGGTCAGGTGCGCGAGGATCGGTCCCATGTGTATTGCATACTGCTTCCGAACACTACTCTACACGCGCCCAAAGCAAAAGCAAAGCAAACTACAATCTGCTATATCAATGAGCAAACAGTACGCATACTCGACCTACTACAACTCATTTCCTGACGGAAAACTGGAAAATTACGTATGGCTACATTACCTACAGAAAAATACTACGTGTCATTGTAGACACTAGTATCAAGAGATCAATGCAATGCACTTGGAAGTAGTAAACATCTCATGGAAGCGTGATCAAACCACTAGCACCTCCATAACAAAATGATAACAGACTAATAAGAATGAATCTACTTTACGTCGTAAAATACCGCAGTGGGTAGTAAAATCAATATACGTATGGGTACCACCAACTAAAACGTGGAATGGAAATGAGAAGAGAATTCCTATTCACTACCGCTAAAAGTGTTTCTTACAAAAATAATTTCCATGAAAAGATGTAATTAAGGCCAACTAACTTGTCTTTCGAGTTCCATGATAACTGGTTCTAGTCGCGAGACAACGTCTTCGTATGACTCCCCTGATGGATAACGATAGTGATACTTATTCCTCAAACGATCCTCAGCTTGTTTCGGATACCTATACAATGAAACGGAATGCAAAAAAATTGAAAAATATTTACTATATGCATTGGGAACAACAAAATACACTTTTACTATTGGTTAAAAACTAAATGTTTTCGGAATGAACGGCCTCCCATGTAAGTATGGCTGGGCCAACACATTTTACAATTAATTAAAGAAAATATATAAGAATACAGTAATAATTAGGAAAATATGAGTACGATCTTATAAACTCATCTTGTTGAGCTGGTACGAGGTTGGCAGAAGTTGTTGCTGTTGTCGCCTAGACGAATTCGCAGAACAACAATAACAACAACAACAACACCTTATACCAAAATCGTACCAGGTCAACTAGATCAGTTCATAAGAACATACAAATAAATATATCGTTTATTTATGCCAATATTTATAAAGAGTTGTGAATATGATCGTAATTTTCAAACTGAGCAGTGGAACTGGTGAAAAGACAAGATCGGGATGGGATGGGTTTATATGTACAATAACCTATTAAAAAAAAACAGAACAAACCGCTGTAGAATGTCCTCATAAGTGAGCCCTTCGCAAATTCCAGCGTCCATTTCATCTAATGCTTTCCAGTATTCGGTGTGGAAAGCAGGATTTAGTCTCTGAGCCGTTTGTGCTGCACGGACCTTGCATGTAAAAATACTATGAGAAAAAGTAGAAACATCTCAAAGAGAAATAAAACAATATAAAATCACTCGCCATAAACTCTTACGAAGAATGGTGAAAGACGATATATTGAAAAGATTTCACATTTTACCTTCTGAGAGCACCAAATTCGAAGATCAGAGATTTTCTCCTTCTCGAAAAACTCACTAAGAGCTTTGGCATATAATTCTCCACCTGGTGTTAATGGGGAATCACCACCAATACGGCCCATAGCATTATATTCGCTCTCTCCGTGCTGGAATAAGAGAATATCTTAAGAGTAATGCATGTTAATCTCAAAAAAACTTAGTGTTAACACATAAGGGTCGATACGAATTGACGTAGCAATTCCCAAGACCGACATTCTGTTAACCTCGGCATTGATTGATAATTTGATGTTGTTCTTCAATAAGCAGACACGAGGTTGTTATTGTAAAATATCCTAATAAATTCTATAATAACAACTTCGTGTCTGATTATTGAAGAAAAACATCGAATGTGAATTGAGTTTAACTCATATGTTGCAGGAAACACATGAGCCTGGTAATTTCAGACATAAATTTCTCAACATGTAGGGAACCCTACTGATTTAAATAAACATCTTACATATCTCTGACATCAAATAAGACTTCTTTATTTTGACAAGATAAAGCTCTGATTCCATGTAGCTCATAAAACGCATTTTTGGTTTATTTTCGTTGACGCTCGCATCTCGAAAACGAAGTGATTGAAGAAACAGAATTTCGAAACGGCAGGTAAGCGACTGTTACATTCGCACTAGAAATTTCAGAGGTTCAAAATTCCTTTCGCATTTTGGGATTTTGGTTTCTAAAGTGATTGAAATCTGAAATAATATTATGGAAAAGATCACACATAACTATAGCCAGTGATTACACCTTTGTAAAAACCAAAACTGCTCAAGTACTTTAAAAAAAGGTCTGAAGTTCTCGGCGTTAATCAATCCCTGAGAGATGTGTCACGCATTCGACTTCATTAAGCATTGTTTGGAGGTGACTGAATGCATATCTGACCTTTACAATGACTCGCGGTGGCCTACCGATGCATCGAGCCATTCCTGCTATCCTCCCAGACAAGTCTGGTACCAATTTACTGATGCTGGAGGGATGAGGACTTGGTGAGGTTGGTACGCTGGGGTCGATCCTCCGACCATGGCGCCACACACGCCCAAGCACTTTATTTATGGAAAAATCCGCAAAGAGCCGACAAAGACTAGGCGCCTGGCCGTGCGCGCTTGGAAGGTAAATTGTACATAATCAATCTGTTTGAGCTTAACAGACTGCATTCACATTAGAAATGTAGTGTACTAACTCTTGTTAGGTAAATACTGCGTGGTAGAAGATGGATATTCATCAAGAAATAAACAACACGGCTTTGAACATGACCTTGAACGTTGTGTACGTAAAACGACCGACCGGCATTTATCACCTAAACTACTCAACTTGAAAAGCATTTTACAATGAGAAAAAAGACTGCTACAATGCTGTTTGATAAGAACTAAGGTAAACGGTAGGGAACAGAATGACAAGCTGTCTACGATGAAATTTTACCGAAATTTTGCGTCTGTGTCTAACATCTAACAAAAATATACAGTTTTTGGATACTTGGATGGTCCATCTTTAGTGATTGTGCGGGCTCCAGCATAATTTCCACTTTTCGAAGTTTCGCTAGTTTAGCCACTGTCATTCCCAGGAGTTCCAAGGGCAACCTGGGTTAGGTCTACCACAGGCCGATACCACCACAGGAAGTCGCCGCCTTTGTGGATCAGAAGGAGATTTGCCACCATGCTACCAGTTTGATACCAGGACGGTGGCGGATCCTGGTATTGGTTTACTCTTAGTAGAACTTCCTGATGGAAACATCGGACTCCTTCTCAGCTTGGGACACTATGCTCGGAGGATGATGCTCCTGCTGCACATCGCAACCTGACACCCAGGAACACCTCCCAGGCACGATGAAGTGGCAAACCGTTAGGGGGAAAGAAATATTACTAATGAGAAAACAGCTAGCCTTGCAAAGAGTGACCAACTTTAACCAAACCAAAGTGACCAAAGAGTGACATTATACTTCCACGTGATTTCTGAGCGGTTGGTCTCTACGTGACATACTTAGTGGAAACCTCATAGAAAGCGGCTCTGAAGAAGGCGAAATTCGCCGAAACGTCAGCTTAATCGTGAACAAGAAATAGTAACACCTCGCGTTTGCTCAACAGAAATACGAAGAAAATGACCAACTTTAGTTATTGCCGGACCATTTACTTCTGAACTTATATAGTTAATAAGAAACATATAGCGACCTTAATAAAACTGAGTTTGTGATCTTCCACTTCGTCCAACGGCTCATACTGCTGTTTGTAGTTTTCAATACGCTTTAAGAAATCTTCTTTTGCTTGCTCAGCAGACATCAGACCCTTGTAATCTGGAGAGTTAACCTGAATCAAACAAACCGCAAGAAAACATGAACAACGATGTGAACTGAAACGCCAATCTACCTCGCTGAAACCTCGACATTAACTTTTCCTTCTCCCATTACTCATTAACAGTTAGTGAAGATTGAGAAAACTGACCTTTACATCGGTGATATTACTGTCGATGATTCGTTCATCATCACAAACCGACTCAATAAAGAAACAACGCAACCTCAAAAGAAAACTCGTTTTAAAAGCATACGGAGATTCTCCGTTGCCTATTCAAAATTAATTTAAACAATAAACTACCTATACGAACAGACGATTAGTACAATGACTTTGTATAAGAAGACAACCTATAGTGAACAAATCAAACCAGTTTTTCTCGCAGAACTCGTTGAGAGTTTCCCGTCGTTGCCTCGTTGTATTTGTTGCGTCAAATATAGCGACATTACAAGCACCGGATTTTAAACAATCCGCCATATCATTCATTGCTCGACGAGCTGAGTCTCTGTAACAATAAGAAAAGGCTGAAAGTATATAACTAAGATGTAGGTATGAAGGAACAAGTTATAATAACTGGTTTAATGGTATGATTAATGTGGCTTGTTTCATTGATAAGCTAACATGAGGTTCTTACTAGATATTCATTCGGCTAATGCCGAGTTTATTCCCTAACTGTAGACATCAACTCGAACTAGACAGCCTCTGAGAAAGACGAAGACATCGAGACGTTAGCCGAATAAATATGTGGTCAGAACGTCGTGCTAGCTTACCAATGAAACAAGGTACATTGACAATTTATACCTAAGTTTAAGGAAATTCCGTTCACAATGATAGTACGATCTACGTATATGGACTTACGACTGTTTAGAAACTCAAATTAAGAAGGTCTTAATGCAAAAAGAATAAATGTATTTGCCCGAAACAACTCGAACTTCAAAGAACATACATAAGAGAGACCTCAAAAAATCCGAATACGAAGAATGAAAGAATCCGAAAACGAACCGCAGAGGAGAACGCTTCGTAAGCCCACGTGATCTTACACAGTTTTTAACGGTGTTACTTTAAGCCAGGACACATTACCCTTCCATGTTAACTACCTGCTGTTGGTCCACACGTGGTATATTCAGTGGAAGACTTAAAAAAAGCACTGACTGTGCGAAGAAGCTGTTTTGTCTACAGCGTGACTGAAATCTTGGGTTAGCTCTTTCCCCAATTGGTTATGGTGCTTGGCTGGACAGATTGCGGTTAACTTCACCTTTCCAGACCCTGAGGAGGACGAAATCCGCCGAAATTTCAGCTTCATGGCAATAAAGATTAGAATAACAACTCTTGTTTGCTCAACAATAATATAAAGAATTACTTGAGTCTATATTTCAAAATGGATTTTCGTTTAACCTCGGCATAACTAATCAATATGTATTCTTCGATTGATAACCTTAAACAAGGTTGTTATATGTCTTATACTAAGTTACAAAGAACTTTAAACTAATAGATTGTTATGTTAGAAGAATGTTATCTTATTAACAATAAATCTGATCAATTCCGAAGTAATAGAAAGTCGGTCATGAGAAAGAACTCACGTTCGCACTTTGAGAGCAGCCGCATTGTTTGGTGAGAAGAATGAGGCATTCGCTCCATGCACCGCATCACAAGCATTCGCTTCCGTTCGACGATACTCACCGACGTTGAACACTGATAATATACTATGTGAAGTACAACGCAGGTGCCTGCGGTGGGGAAGAAACGCGCTAATACCCTTTCTGAGGGCTAACGTGTTCAGCGTCGCTCCATGCGGGCCCTTCGTTTCGTACTGACAATGTAAATTTTAACGTTAATGAGAGACTTGAAAAACCGGACACCAAATATGATATCCTGTCTCACAAGTGCTAGTAGATATGTGGACTCTTAAGACCTTAACTAAATCAATAAACCTCTGAAGGCCTAAGTTATTGGCGGGGGAATATTTAGCAATAGCGCCATATATGAGGATAAATCCACATACTTCTCAGTGTTCACAAAGAGTAATACTACAAACTAACGAGAATCTTCATATGATGTCCTTCACCTTTTGTTTTTATTCCTATCCAGTTGAGATAACGACATAGTTTTTTCGATATGTACGTCTTTCCGCGGGCCGGTAGCCCGACCATCACAATCACATTCGGTATTCGTACTTGATCTAGAAAGATAAGCTTTTAGAGGTGAACTTATCCCCTTTTATTTACTTACTAAGAAATCCACTTTGGTCTTATGAGATCATATGAATGGTGAATAGTGTCATTATCCATTATTAGAACACTTAAACACATTAAGCAACATCACAAATCGCTAAAAACTCATAGTAAAATGATGTAAGGTTAATGAACGGTTCTCATGTCCACCCAAAACTTATTAGCAGCTTCAACCAACACGCCACAAAAGGGTTGGTAAACCAAATGAACAGAAACCCTTCTACAACAGTTGTATTGGAGCAATTAGCTAAAGACAATTTGTTGATCAAGGCTGATTAAACCTGAAAATCCATGCTCCTGTGAATGAGTGACCTTTCTCTTCGTGGATGTTTCTTCGGTTGGTGACGCAATGACCGGATTCGAACAGGAAACCTCTGATGTAAGAGTACTGGTATCCAACATCCTACAAAGGCTATAAGCAGGACATACAGATACCTATCGATGAGACCTTAAGAGCACAAAGGAGATAAAGCTATCTATCGATAAAACATTAAGAGTACTATGGATAACGTCACCGATGAATTACAGTAAACAACTTTTTCTTTGCTTTAAATCAAAAAGAACAAAGATGAAGCGTTAAACAACGCGATAGGTGATGAAGAAGTACATTCTGATGAACAGAAATCGACAAATAAACAAAAAAAAATGTTTTCAATTTATATTAAAGGACTGGAAAATTCCAGAAGGAAACTCTAACAGGCCGAAGTAAAATGCCTGAAAACCTTGACATTTGAAACGCTTTTCAGCTTGTTCTGGGCAAAACGGATAATTTTCAAGTAACATGAAGAATTCTTAAAAGTTTCCTTCACTTCCGCTTCCAGTATTTTTCTTTTATTCAGTTCCTCTAGCGCTCTTTCCAGTGCTTCGAGTAAAAAGCACTAGAAAAAACAAATGAAATGTGTAAACACACGACCGACTATCAAGTAAAGAGGGAGAAAGTCCCTTTCCCGGAGGAAACTTGAGCTAAGTGGAGGGCATTAATCAAAAAGCTGAACATTCCGCTATTAACCAGCCTATGACGAAAGAAGAAAAAAGAAACAAGAAAAAATAAAGAGGGAAAACAGAGTGACGTAGACAAACGACACCTCCAAGTGTTTGCAAGTTTTTTGTCAAAGTTTGTTCAGAGATTGTACATCCTCAAGCCAAAGTGTAACTAATATTTTGGAACAAAGGCAGTTGTTATCGTGAAAAACTACCAAATTTCCAACTACTGTGCCACTTCAATCCCACTAATCAACAAGTTACTGGAACGAAAGCGCCATTAACATGGACTGAATTTGCCACCGTCGCCCTTTGGAGCTATCCAGTGGATTCCACGATGGCTCCAAAGAAGCAAAAGCCCTAAGTTCTTAGGATTTTCCTTCCCAATGCTCTCCTGTTTTCTCTGGTAAAAGAGGTTAACTCGATATCTGCTCTGCTGCGAAGGGGATCTGGTGTACTATACTAAACATGGATTCATCCGGAAGTTAGACCGTTGGAAACATCCGGAAAAATGAAAAAAAGAGAAAGAAAGAAGCTAGCATAAAGACACTTTAAGTACCAAAGTTGTTCAGATAAATTACCTGGTGCAAGTCTGATAGTCTGGAATCTTGTCATTTGAGGCGCTTGAGTGAGCCAGTTCGATGACAGACTGAGAGATTGGGAGGGGAGAGACGCACTATTGATTACTAGGGGAAAACCAGAAACCTTTCTGGTATTTCAGGTAATGTAGACCTAGTCTGGGAAGAATATGATAGGAATCAATCTAGGAACGCTATAGGAGGAGAGAAACACCCGCACTGTGGGAACGCGTTTTTCTTCTTTCACATGAGAAAACACCAGCAAACTAACTTTAGGAGGGTTTCAATTCAAATGGAAACATAACGAAAAATGGGTTTTCCTTCAGTTTTGGGAAGAGCCAGCGAGTATTAAACTAAATGAATTAACGACGTTAAGCGCTTAATGACTCTAACCGATATCAAATTAGTCCATGACGCAACCACACTCAGGAAAAAATGCATTAAATACGCAAAATTTACAAAAATAACCGCATGCACATCAGATTTCTGGGAAGTGCCCTCCAACCCTAAGCCTCCACTTATTCGCCTTAATACGTAATCGTCACTAAACTGGTTTCCATTGTTTTGCCAGGTTGAGTTCTTTCTCGTCTAGAACACATTCATTCTTGTGTTCGCTCTGTCCTACACATCCCCTTTGCTTTCCCTGAAACACTACAGGAAGTGAGGCAATTAATTGCTGATCCGACAAACAAGTGATATGCAATTTACTAGGTCAGACGCTTCAGTAACACATACAGAAAGACGAGAATCTATATGGTAGTCACATCGTCAACAGCTTCTCGAAAAACCCACCGTTTTTACGTGTCTTCCGCTAAGGAAGAGTCGATGATCAGCGTCGCACATGGCTGACAACTGCACCTACCCACACCAACGATTGATACGAAGGTACGGGGAGAGATCACAGGTGATCTCGGGCATTCCTCCATGCTGTTCATTTTAACCTTTTGGTATTTATCCAAAAGCCTCAAGAAGCTTGCGCGGTGGTGTTTTGGCATCCCGTGCAAGAATAGTGACTTTTATATCAAAATCGTCTCCACTATGCTTTTGTATCCTATGCGTGCCTAGTGGGGTGCTTCGTTTTAGTTTTCGTTTGCCATCTAGGTGTTCTTTCACACGGATACACAAAGGTCTGCCCGTTTCGCCAATATATTGATCTCCGCAGTTATTACAAGAGACCAGATATATCGTACCTAAACTCATGCAATCACCGTCCTTGCCAAAAAGGCAAATTACGCAATTTTCGGTTTCATATAGACGGTCATGCAGGCGGTTACGAACTAATTAACGACGAGGAGTATCGGGTGGTATTTCAACTATCGCCACCGATTCCTCTAGACCTGCCCTTCTTAAGCATCGTTTTATAGCTGCGCTTACTTCATCGCTTATAAAAGGCAACATAAACGGGACTTTTTTTGGCTAAGTGTATGGCTTTGGGGCGTCGCCCTCCTTTTAAACATATTTCGTCGGGTTAGCATTTCATAGCCAATGGAAATGGCTATTTGCCGAGCCAAGTCGCGCTATTCCTCTTTTAATTCCTTCTTCGTGCACAGAGAGGTGGCTGTTCGAAACATGTTTCTCACAATCGCCCTCTTTGTGTGTAGAGGATGGGAGAAAAGGAAATGAACGAGGACGTCTTTGTTACTTGGTTTTCGGTGCCATTTTGTCATGTAACTGCTACTTGATAAGTTCACTTGAACGCTAAGAAATGGAAGCCACTTCTCTTTTGGTTTCTCCCAGGTAAACTTGATGTACTCAGACTGCTCATTCAATAACTCAACGCATTTGCCCATCTCCTCTTGAGTAGAGGAAATGACAAAAATTTGCAGTAGAGTAGCGGCCGGAGATCGATAACGGGGTCTTCTATTCTTGACAAGGACGTGATGGCAAGACTTGGTGCCAACCGCTGTCCCATTACCAACCCAACCATTTGCGCGTAATATTTCCCAGACCATCTGAAGATCGAGCAGTTTCAGAGCACTCCTTTAAGAGAGCCATAAGCTGCTGGATGGACAAGCCATGCATGTGTATTCCTCTTTCATGTTCAACAAGAAGTTCGTGGATGGCTTGCGTTGCAGAGTGATTCAATACGTTGGTATAGAGAGCAGAAACATCTAGGAACATTTGGGTGTTTGTGAGGTGAGCTGGAATGTGGTTAAGCAGTTAGATGGGTATTAAGCTTAGAAACCATGTTATTCTATTTCGAAACCGACTTTCTCTAAACCTCGGTGTGACTAATCAATATGTATTCTTTCTTGATAAGCTTGCACGAGGTTGATAAATATATTTATTTTCGGCTAACGTTTCGACGTCTTCGTCTTCTTCAGAGCCGATGATTCGAGTCGATGGTCCATGATTGTTGTTCGTCTCGACGTTGCAGCTTCGCCTTCGTGTCGAGTCAGGTCTTCCTCAGTGAGCCATCTTCTTGAATTCGATTCATCAACCTCGTGCAAGCTTATCAAGAAAGAATACATGTTATTCTATCCGTTGGCCCACCTACGCAACTGGTGATGGGTCTAACCTTGAAGGATGTTGGATTGGTTGACGCAAGATCATCAACTGGAAGGCACATAAAAAACGGTGGGTTTTTCGAGAAGCTGCTGATCGTGTGACTACCATCTGGATTCTCGTCTTTCTGTATGTGTTATTGAAGGGTTTGACGTAGTTAATTGCATATCACTATGCCCTTCCAGGCTCTGAAGCAACTATCTCTGAAGCAAACAACACCGTGTGTACCTGCAAATGTCCAAAAGATGAGGAGTTTTGTCGGTCACGATCAGATAGTTGCTACTGCACTTCTATGTTTGAAGGCTATTGGAGTTCGATGCCCACACCTTGGAAAACGCCTTGTTGGATCACAGGAACCAGATTCCGAAAATCCTTCTAGTAATCTTTATTTCACACCAAATATAACCTGTTTTCGGTAGAATCGCCTTCCTCAGAACCTGGAAGGGTACATTAATCGCGAGGTCGTTAAACAGCTGTTGTGCTGTTGAAGTGTTTGACCTAGTAAGTTGCGTATTAGTGTACCCTTCCAGGCTCTGAAGAAGGCGATTCTGCCGAAAGGTCAGCTAGCGTTGTATTGTATTGTGTTTTTCTATGGAAGTAAATGCATGCTGTTTAAAAACCTCGCGATTGCTGAACAAGAAAACGACACATTCAAAAGGTATAACATTGTGATTTCAACTACAGCCGCAGCTTAACTGTGTTCTATGCCGATTTGGGCGCCCCAGATCAATCCCGCTGACGGGTGATTGCTGTGGCAAAGATCGATAGAAATAGCTGAGAGACAGGCGAAACGAAGGACCCGCATGGTGTGGTGGTGAACGCGCGTTACGCCGGAAAGGACAATAGCGCGTTCGTTCCCCTCCATAGACACCTGCGGTCCAGAGTTTTGCAAATATCTCAGCAACGTTGTGGTTGTATCTCAGCATCATTCGTGTAATCGTTCCAAAGTTTGCGATACTCCTCGTGGGTGATAAAGACCTTTAGAGGCTAATCTCTTGTCAAACATAGTAAGAATGTAAACAGCCTTATACTTATAGTCCAGTGGTCTTGGTTGAACTTGAGTAAGAGGCAACTTCTGAGCAAGTCTGGAGTGCCCTGTACAGAAGTGCAAGCTTTGCTGGTGGTGACTCGGGTCATTCGATGATTAGCAGGACCGCAGGTGACATAGGTAACTCTCTCTTCGGTTTTACACCCTCGTCCAAAGTCCTGATAACGAACAGACACGAAAAGGTGCAAGTGGACAATTCTAAGAATAATGATGGTGCCGTTAACCTTTTAAATAAAGGGTCAAGTAGATAAATAAATAAAAGATTAAATAAATAAATAGAATAAATAAAT